TCAACCCCTGAAAAAAAGGAACCGCCTGGGAATTCAACACCGGTTTTGATTACTGTAACAAATCCAATTTGATCTTTGGAGGCACAGACCTTGGTCTCAGAGATTGGCGACCGGAGGCAGAACAACTGCAGTCATAAACCGCCCTGTGAGACTTTGGATTTTTCGGATCTTGATCTTTGATGGAAAATCCCTATCGCATTGCCATGAGCTTGAAGTTCTGGTCATTGAAGCTGCAAGCTTGCCTGTTTTTTCAGGTTGGATGGCTTGGTCTTGAAGGAGTTGGCCTTTGCGCAACTGCAGAGGAGACGGGACGTATTTTGCACCGGATTGTCGTGGGGAGGTGAGATGAGATCCACACCGAGATGAGTTTGGCCTTTTGAAAGTGTCGGACAGTCTTATGGGTGCACCAGGGAAGGATGATATTTGCGCCGGACAAGCTGCGCTGGTATTGCAGATTTGGCCAGTTGGACGCGCCATTTCCTGTTTTGTGCCAATAACCAACCCGTCACGATTTTGATTAGTGTGGACTGACAGGCTTTGCTTTCATTGGAGCACTGCAACGCAGCTGGTTTGCTTTCAAATCTTAGTCTGGAAGGAATGCCTTGGATGAAGCTTCTGCTGCCTGTGGAGAGGTGCAGATAGTCTAAGTGAGGTGCAGATTTTCGACTTACAAATTCTAAAATCTTTTCACGGGTGCCCTTTTTAATGGTGAAGAGGCTGGCTTCCGTCCCCTCCCTTCTCAGGTTCATTGTTGACTTTCACTTAAGAGCTACTAGGGGCTCCTGGCCTTACTAGGAACAAGAAGCTACTAGAAACAAGTGCCTTACTAGTAGTAACAAGTGCCACGCTACTAGGAACAAGTACGACGAACGGGGCTCCTGGCATCGCTACGAACGGAGCGATCGGACGCCGTAGGCCATGTCAGCGTACCAGAGTGCCGGCGACCGCCTCGGAGAGGTGAGATTGTCGTGGTGTCGATTGGTTGCTTCTTGTTACTACTAGTAAGGCACCTGTTACTAGAAGCGGTGCACTTTTTCCTAGTAGCTTCTTGTTATTGCTTTGTTTGTTGTAGTCATTTTTTGCAACTTTCTTAATGACCAAAGCAGCTTTCTTTAAGATGTGTTTGCTATGTTGTAGCTTTTGTGTGGCCAGAAACAAGAGCACTTAAATCCTTGCAACCACCTACTGGCAAAAATAGTGCAGGCCTCGGTCTTGGCTTGCATGGTGCAAATCAAGACGAAGAAGGAGGACTTCTACGCCGCATCACAGGCACGGTGGGAGATTCCGAAATGAGCAAGTTGCACGTATCGGGTTGAGTGAAACAAGAGTTTGCGAGAGTTCGTGCATCTTAAGAATTTGCACCAGGCAGCTAATGAGCAGCGAGCCATTTTCCAGCAATTGGGAGATCGCAGCAGAGAGGTGGGCTGATGAGCCGCTTCACGGCTGTTGCAAGATTTTGCAAGCTAGCAGAGGAATGCAACTGGAAGGAGTCATGTTGATGAAGATTCTACTAAACAGAGTCAGGTTTAGGGTAAGAGACGGCTTGCAGCAAGCTTGTAAGAACTCCGATGTATTGTCTCGCAGGACTTGATGAACTTAGAGCTTGGGAGTGTGACTGTCTAAACTCCACTTTTCGCTTTGCCTCAAGGCAACATGCTTGCTGACTGCTGCAGGCACGACCTCTCAAAAGCATTGATTGTGCCTTCAAAAACAATGCTTGGAGTGTCATCCAATCTATACTAAGAACTCTCCACTCAGGGCTTGACATTGAGGCTGCCTCACCAATGACAACAACCTCGATCAAGCCCTGCAGCTTGCCACGACCTCAAAAAACAAGCATGTTTCAATAGGGCATATGAGATTGGTGAGCCTGGCGAGTGTATCCAACGTGGACTGATGACACGGGAGCAGGATTTGGCGCAAAGAGAGGTAGTGTGTCACTTTGAGGCCGATGAGGCATATGACATTTGCAGGGAGATCGAAGAGCCAGCTGGTGAGGCAATCCGACAACATCCCAGCCTGGTGTGTTGCATCCTTCTGCTGTGTGAAGGTATGGAATGTGTCCTTTTGTACAAGCGGTTGAGCGGCCTCTTACAACAAAGTTCAATGTAGCATTCTTCAAATTCTTCAAGTGGCTTGTTGCTTCACCTTTTCTTCATGCTGCTTGATGCATGGTGGCAATGAAAGTAGTCACCTTCTCATGGTCATTTGATACAATTTCTCACACATTACACTGTTAGAATTGTAAGTTCCCACTATTTTACTTTTCAAAACGTCCCACCACAATGTATGACTGGGTATCTCGCCGCCAGTTGGCGTCGGATGTATCTTACGGGGCATTTTGTGAGAGATGTCAAATATAATCAAACATCTATATACACTGTAGATGCATCTGGCTGGTTTCATGAACTCACTCGAGGATTCCTACCCAAGAGTGCGTCAAACCGTGTTCTTGGCAGGCGCAGGCATTGATGGCTCAGGCAGAGATCATTAGCCAGAGAGAAGAGCCTGGATCTCAATACGTGGGAAGTGAGCATTGCACGAGTGAAAAATAGCTTATGCTGCATGTCCGGTCGTTTCTCATGAAGGTGTTGCGAAAATGTGTTTTTCTTTTGGACATTTGCTGTGTAAAGACGTGCTGCATTCAAGCACTGAACTTGCTCAGTATGGAGACGGCTGTGGAGAAGGCTAAAGAGATGCGCCGTCGAGGTAAAGACATCAATTACAGGCCGAGAGCGGAAAACAAAGACTTGATTGGTGCTCACCAGGAGACCAAGAAATCGGAAGAGATTTCAACGGGTTAGAAGTTACACATTTCACCTTTCCATTACTCACAGAAGGGACATTTCACTTTCGTACGTTCCGCTGTCCTGCACAGGCTTATTGAAGCACAGGCATGCAAGGCCTGCCCGACAACCATTAAAGAAAGAGAGTTGAAGCCGCTCATTTCGTGGGAATTCTGGCGACCAAAACGGTCCAATAATTTACTGTAGCTTGCATACTTGACCCTGGCATGATTTCACCTGCAACCACTTCACAAAGACACCAAGTTTGCACTTCGGAAGTTTTGCCTGTCACTCACAATCTTGCGGCAGTTGGACAGTGCCAAACATGGACATTCAGAGAGGACATCATGCGTTGATGCAACTTCAGCAGACACATCATGGGATGTCACTTATCATAGCTAGCGAACCAGCTGCCAGAGGTGGCTGCTTTGCGACAGGACGTGAGAACTTGACTTCACATGCCATGAGAGGTTGATCTTCAATTCAAAGGGCAGCAAAGCCATGCCAATACAGCTATATATATATATATGGAAAATACTGTTGCATGTTTCTGCGATGCATCCTGTGATGCGGGATGATGTGGCCGATATTTTTGCTTCAATCATGCTGTGAAAAGTCATGCGAGGCATTGGCGAACGTTTACCAGTCCTTTGAAAGGTTAGTGGAATCGGTGCGTGCAGCAAATGAGGCTGGGTTCACCATGTTTCACACATTGTTGAAAGATCCTGTGTTGCACGGTCAGTCTGACCATCATTTTGGAGAAACATGGTTCGAATCATGTCCCGATTCTGAAGAAAGCTGAGTCCAAGGCCGTCCAACTTGCCAAGAAGGCCACCTACAAGCCGATCATCGTTGAGATGATGCCCGATACTTTATGCACTTCGATTTGTTGATCGAGCAGACTTTGACCAACAGCTCATTGGTCTTGGCCGTAATTGAGGCTCTTGGCCGTCAAAGTCAACAGCTCATTGGTCTTGCAGGATGGTGCGCAGGTAGGATTGTGCAGGTCTGCAATTGTTGAAATGAGTTAGCAAGCCTGACTGAACTCAGACCTAGCCTAAAGCTCTATCATTCACTTTAGGAATTGGGCTTGAATTCATGCAATAGGTAAGAGCGCAAGACTTCTGGTTCTTCTATATACTTACATTGTGGAGTTTTATTCACCAACAGCGAAGCTTAGGGGTCTTCAACCATAGTAAAGACCTTGGAGCAGGTTCCGGAGCAGGTTCCGGAGCTTGGGAGCAATTTCCCACAAGCTCCAGAGCACTATGCAGAGGAGAATGAGCTGCCGCTGTGATCAGGTTGTCGCACCGTAGCACTGACACGTCATGATGCTGGCCTGTTGTCAAGCTGATATGCTGACATGCCGTCACCCTACCATGCAGTTTTTGCTGACCTGCCAACATGTCATACTTCTATCACGTGGTGTGGTGTGCTGTCGCGCAGACGACATGATTCGCGCTGTTTCGCTGATACGCTGGCGTGGCGTCACGCCGGCAAGTTGTCAGGCTGTCATGCTGACTCATTTTCACTGGCTTGGGGCACACTAGGTTGCTAACGTTGTCATTCTGAGATGCGAAAATCGGGTTATGGTGCCGTGCTAACTTGCTGGCCGGCTCCAAGGCCGGCAGAGGCTTCCTTTCTTTTTTTGCCTGTTGGAGTGTTGTTGTCGTGCTGACGTATCGCCGTGTCGTTATGCTTGCATGGCACATGGGAAAAGTTTGTGCTTTTGACAGCAAGAGTGCTTAACAGAACAGACAGGTTGTCTTTTTTCTTTGGCTGGGGCATACCGTATTGCTTTGGTATATCATGAATAAGTATTTGTCCAGAGTACTGCAAGAATACCGGGAGTAAACATGTCCAAACCACTGCATCGTGGATCTTCAAAGATCACAGGAACTCAGAAACACAATGACACACCGTTGCATGTTAATTTTCCAAGACCAAAACATTTCGTGTGGAAGAAACATGGTACGTTTTATCACGTTTCAAGACTCTCGCACTTCGCAGGCCTCACAAAGAGGTGGAAACACTTGTTTTTCTTCCGAAAGGATTGGTTGCTTCAGACTTGAGGCAAAACAATGGGTTTCTTCCATATATTGCAATGCGGTTCTGCCTCATGCACGACATACAATTTAACACATTAAGAAACTTCCACCAGTCATTCACGGAAGGTGCCCTTTCATTGTTTGAAGGGTCCTGTTGCAGGTCTCTATGCGCGGAGCAGAGAAAGCGGTTCGTCCTGCCAGAGAGGCACGTGATGTCAGACGTAACGGAACGAACATCTCAGGGTTTCAGTGTGAGCTAAGCCACCAGGTTCCATATTCAATTGACTAAGCCTAAGCCACCACAAGGAATGACAAGGAAGGAGTTTTGGCTGGGCAAACTTGGGTTGTACTTGACTCTGAGATGAATCCAGGCAGTGACAGTTGCCAAAGCCACTGGAAAGCGATCACTTGTCAGCCACGCGCTCGGAAATACCATCACTGAGATGAGCAGCTCACAAGGATTTTCATTAAATGAATCCTTTTGAAACGAAGGACGCATTGCCTCAAACTTGCATCAACGTGATCTATTTGAGTCGTTTGAGGCACCTGTTTGTATCAATTGGCAGAAGTGCAGTTGATGTCCTACCAATTGGGGCCGGCAATGGGCTCCGCCAAGGAGGCGGACGGAAGGGACACGCTTAGCTTGATTCACTTCTTTGCTTCTCCGCCACACACAGTGCTGAGCTTTATTTTTCGCAAGTTGGACTTGGCGGTTTCCAAACTGTTATATACTGATATATACTGCATATGCCCGGTAAACTTTCCACACGACTTTCTTTGCTTTGGAATGCAACGCAATACTTTCGATGGCAGGCCCTGGACAAGTTCCGTGAAGGCGGTGATAAAGCTGGAGAAGCCGGAGCGTGGATCTTAAATTGAATCTGATATTATTTTTTTTAGGCTGAAAGTCTCGGTTTCAGAGCTCCGGTGTAATTAGTGTAATTGGCTCGGGGAAGGCTATCATCCTCATTGCAGAGACGCACTATGCTGGGGGCAAGCACGACAAGGCCGTGAGCGTTCAATGGCCAAAGACGCTGAAATGCCTCAATGTAGTGCCTTGTAGTGCGTCAAAGAGCCGGATATTGAACACCTGGTGAAGTGCCGGTTGGTCTGAACCCTGAAGTCTGAGTTTCTTGATGCCAAGCACCTTTTAAGCAGTGTGGCGCTTGCACATGAGCGCCGCCACATCAGGCAGAGGAGACGGTGAAGGAGGGCATTGATTTGGTCATGCCGCCTTGTGGACAAAGTGTTTCAATGTGCATACTCCAGCCAGCTGCGAAGCAGCTAAGATTCAGACAAGGCTTGACAGTACAGGCAGCGTCGAAAGAGCAACAGGCCAAGCGGTCCAAACGAACATGTTCCAAGTTTGGCAAAGCGGTCCATAGTGCCAGGCAGCTGAATGCGGTGACCAGAGGAAAGAGTCAGGTCCTTAAGACATGCCCGAAGATACTGCTTTTAGATGCTTTTAGTGGATACGACGTGAAAGAAATGGCTTCGAGTTTGGAGCTGCTTGACAGGATGGCAACTAAAGTAGACGAGCGGTTTACCGCCGTGTTCATGGCGGTTCCTCAAGCTGTTCTTGAGGCATCGAACAAAGCTGCCCATTTTAGCGTCCTTGCTCCTAGTAGCCCTTTGTTCCTAGTAGCTTCTTGTTCCTAGTAGATGCCAGGAGCCCTTAGTAGCGTCCTTGTTGGAACATTCCCAAGAACATATTTGGCTTGGAACTCTTTAGAATCGCGGATTGGGTTCCTTTGTAGCAAATGACTGGCGCTAATCAGTTTTATTCGTGGAGTGCTTGATTTCCAAGGCAACAAACAATGATGTTCAGCAATTAAACACTAAACTGCAGATTGCTGGCTGCTTGCCAATGCAATGACCGCAGATTGCTAACCAAATTATCAGCAAGCACTTGCACGTTGTGAGCCGCTTTGGGATCAGCTGGGACAGGAGGGTGAGAAGGAGGTGAAGTGTGAGTGTTGGAGGAGGAAATCAGTTCTGGAAAGACCAAAGCTTTCATGAACTCTGTTTGAACCAATGCGCTGTTCATGAACTACTACATCCACGCAAGGCGTTTCACAGGTTGGGGAAGAAGCTCCTAGATTGCCCACCATGCAAGACCTAGCACCTGGAAAGCAGAAGTTTGTGTTCGCTTGACGTTTGCACTCTGGCTGTCCAGAGGTCATATGGCAAGGCGCTCTTGCAGCAGATACAAGATAGTTCGGTCCGCTCAGGCTACAGCTTCGCTACAGCTTCACTGCAAACAAACAGAGACGTGAGACATCGTGAGACGTGACAGTTTCACAACTTTTGCCGTGTGCATTCTCAACGGCAGGGCAAGTGCACTGAGTGAGTGGATAGCCTGCTCGACCTGGCCAAGTTAGGAAGACTGAAAGTGATATTGTTTTGTTGTTTTCTAAATGTATGTATCCAGCCGCAACCTCTCAGTCTCATTCACAAGTTACAGTAGTTCTTTAGTCATTATCAGATTATCATCCTGGACTTGCAAAGACGGCATCATTGCTCGAAAGCACAACCCCACCCTCCCTTGGCTTTCCGTGAACTAAGAAAGTGAACCAAGAAGGCACCCCTTGAGCAACTGCTTCTCCTTGCTATCATCACCCACCTTGCCGAATGCATTTCTCCAAGGCCGGCGAGCACAGCAAGAAGCTGCACAAGCAGCTCGACCGGCAATGGTTCGGACTCCTAGCACACACGGAAACATTAGGCCAGCTAGGAAAGGATATCAATTCATAGGGCACATTATTTGTGACTCGGATGTGCAAGATGTCAGCTATTCTTTTAGGTTTCATAGGCCCTCAGCTGCCCGGAAACAAATTCCTATCAATTCATGGCACTGACATTTCCCATTGAGTATTCACTTCTTGACAATTGCATGGCATGGCGAACTGTGACAAATTGTTCATGTAACTATTTCAAGAGGTTTGCCCAGTCAGAACCAACTCCAAACAAGACAATGAGACCTAAGTGAACAGGTTTAACTTCCCGGCAGGCAAGTTCCTTACAATCGGGAAGCTCCTACGAGGCTTTCAATAGAAGGTCCTACTCTATGGAAGCTAAATGGAGAAAGTAGTTTTCTGGATGCGGGTTGTTTCGATCTTTTCGTGCTGAGATGCCGATGCATATGTTGCCTCCACAGGCACGCCTGTGGCCAGCTTTGTATTTCCGTCGCATCGTTTCTGCACATATCAAGAATCTTCTTTGCGCAAGAAGCAAAGGACGCATTGAGCAGCAAGCACTTTGCTTTGAGTTTTGTCATTCGCAAACAATTTTGTCGTTCTTAGATCAGCTTCAAGGCGGGCGGTCCAAGTCCTGAAACACCCGCAGCCGGATCTTCTGCCGTCGTGGAGTCCAAACAGGCTCGACTTGGAGACTCCGACACTCCCGAGTTTCTCATACTGAAGACTCTACCGATATTTCTTTCTTTGTATTTCCATTTTCATTTTCTTTCTTTTTTAAATTCTCACCGATCGAAGGGTTGTGGGTGTAGCTTGTACTTGGGACGGACCATGAATCGAGGTATCAGTCATATTCATACCGCATCGACGATCGTCTGCAGTTCTTCGGAGCGACTGGGATAGCTCAACCCCTTGACTCGGCCAGGTGGGTCTTGACCCAAATATGGTTTCAGCCACGGTCCAGGAGCGGCAACGGATACAATAAAATGAAAGAAAGAAAGAAAAGAACAGAAAAGAAACGAAACGAACAGAAAAGAAAAGAAAATACATCAAGAAAGAAAGAAAGGAAGAAAAGGAAGAACTAATAAAAGAAAGCTCTAAACTAAATAATGAATGGAAAGGCAAGGAAAATAAAAGGACAGAAAGGACACCAAAAAGGAAGAACGGAAAGAAGACACAAACAGAGCATTCTGAGACTTGTTCCCGAATGCGTAGCGAAGGCTTCCCGTTTATAGTTGGGGGTCTGGGGGTTGGAGCTGTGTTTGCATGGCTTGCGTCGTCTCGTCGTCTCTCGTCGTCTCTCGTCGTCTCTCGTCGTCTCTCGTCGTTTGTCGTCGTCGTTGCGTCTCAAATTCGCCGCCATTGGGGGAAGCTTTTGCAAGTGACTTTGCATGGATGTGTCATGTGTCAGTTTGCGCCGCTATTCCATTGTGATTTGCATGACAAATGACATGTCGGGCAAGAAACGTGATGCGTTTCGCTGCACAGGTGCAGCGTTTTGTGAGATCCGCAGATTGCTGCGCAGTTCCATTGGGATTAGCGTTTGGAGAGTCGTGTTTTTGGGGTGTTGGATGTGGCCGTGCCATTGGGATTTGCATTTCAGGGTGTGGCATCGAAGTTCGGTTTTCGTGACAAGTCTCAGCTGAAATGGCGATTTTGGTGGATGGGAGTGTGCTCAGAACGGGTCGAAATCATTCCAAACTTGTGGTGTGGTGCAAATCTTGTTGAAGCTCACATGAGATGATATTGTCACTTTTCGTGGCAGGCGCAGGACTTTGTGCGGGTTTTGAGGCGTGGAAGTGCGATTCTCGTGGCAGGCGCAGGGAATCGTGAGGTTGCGAGGTGTGACGGAGGTGACATTTCGTGGCAGGCGCAGTACTTTGTGCGCGCTAGACGTGTGGACGCGGAAAGATTCGTGGCAGGCGCAGGGAATCGTGAGGTTGTGAGTTGTGGTAGAGGTGAATGTCGCTGTCACATTGGGATTGGCGTGTGAGCGGATGTTGTTTGGAGGGGCTGGAATCGCGAAACTGCTTGGCAGGGCTGCGTGATGTGTGTGCTCCGATGGGTGTTTCCGCTTGACTTTTGGAGGAAGTCTCGTACGAAACGCTCGTTTTGCAGACTTTGACGTGTGAGTTTTTGAGGACGTCTCGTACAAAGCGCTCGTTTTGGAGACTTGACGCGCAACCCTCTGCGGAGATCGTGCGTGTCGAGTGTGCGAAATGCCGGCGAGAGTGCGATTTGTCCCATCCGCGCGCAACCCTCTGCGGAGATCGTGCGTGTCGAGTGCGCGAAATGCAGGCGAGAGCGCGATTTGTCCCATGTGCGCGCAACCTTCTGCGGAGATCGCGCGTGTAGAGTGCGCGAAACGCAGGCGAGAGTGCGATTTGTCCGGTGCCCGCACCATCCTCTGCGGAGATCGTGCGTGTCGAGCGCGCAACATGCAGGCGAGCGCTGGCGACTTTGTAGTACAACTTTAGTGCGTGGAGTATCTGGAGAGCCGGAAGATGAGAACTGGTGACTTGGTAGTACAACTTTAGTACGCGGAGCAATCTGTGGAGCTGGAAGCTGAGAACTGGCGACTTTGTAGTACAACTTTAGTACGCGCAGCAATCTGTGGAGATGGAAGCTGAGAACTGGCGACCTTGTAGTACAACTTTAGTGCGCGGAGTATCTGGGGAGCTGGAAGAGTGTCCCACAAGAGTGTCCTACAAGAGTGTCCCACAAGAGTGT